AGACGCGTACGTAGCTAATTTCTGCTCCTTAGTCCTTCTCTTTTATTTAAGTCAGCGGCTGGATCTGTAATTACGTGATAGCGTTCTCGCCGCCTCTCCAATCTCTCCTTGTTCACGCTACAACCAGAATTTGTTCTGTTTATGATTTTCTCGTGTTGTTGGAGTTCGTTACATTTGTCGATTTCCTGGTGTGCCTGTCTGGGATTTGATTCGATTTGGTATGATCCGATATGCAGTGCGGGAGAATCTGAAGGGCGCGCGGAAGGATTACGACAAGACGGAGGACGACCTGAAAGCCCTGCAGAGCGTGGGGCAGATCATAGGCGAGGTGCTGCGACAACTGGACGAGGAGCGACGTGAGTCCGTGAGGGCTGATGGAGCGACGTGAGTCCGTGAGGGTTGATGGAGCGATGTGAGTTGATGAGAGATGTGAATTGCTTCGTGTGGTTGTGTCAGACGTGTGTCGTCCCTCCTCTACCCCCCCCCCCCCCCCCCCCCCCCCCCCCCCCCCTTCCACGCTTGGCTGCTCGCACTGATGGGCAGCAATCGCACTGCTCTCGCAGTAATTGTGAAAGCTAGCAGTGGATACGTGGCGGGGTGTCGCAGCAAGGTGGACAAGAGCAAGCTCACCGCGGAATTTGTGTCTAGTCCCTCGCTCCCCCGCCATCCATCCCCACGCGCAGTGATAGTGAAAGCCATCAGCGGCCCGCGGTACGTGGTGGGGTCTGAGAAGCCTCAAGAGTTCACTTTTTACCTGACCCCCCACCCACATAACAGCTCGCGCGCAGTGACTGTGAAGGCGAGCAGTGGCCCGCGCGGTATGTGCTGGGGTGTGTCGCAGCAAGGAGGACAGGAGCAAGCTCACAGCCAACACTTGTGTCTCTTGTCCCTCCCCCACTCCCCTGGCTCTCCGCGCATTCCCGCGCGCAGTGATTGTGAAGGCGAGCAGTGGCCCGCGGTACGTGGTGGGGTGTCGCAGCAAGGTGGACAAGAGCAAGCTCACAGCCGGCACGCGGGTGGCGCTCGACATGACCACACTCACCATCATGCGCGCACTGCCCCGCGAGGTCAGCTCAGCAATTGACTTTTGAGTCAGACTTAAAAGACCACACCACACTCGACATGACCACACCACACTCACCATCATGCGCACGCTGCCCCAGGAGGTGGGCTCAGCAGGATGTAATGCCTTTGGCACCCTTGTTTTGCATTTGAATGAAGCAGCACGTAACGACCTGTCAGCAAGGGTGCTGCGCTCGGCGTGACCACCCTCTCCATCATGCGTCCTCTGCTCTGCGCGAGCACGCAACCTGCTTTTGTTTCCCTACGTGTGCACACACTCTCTCTCACCGCCCTCTCACTTCCCTGCCTCTGCACTCCTAGATGCACCGAACCCTTTCATATACAACCTGCTCTTTCTGCTGCCCCTCTTGCTGCTTACTCCCCCGCACACTTTACTTCTCGCCATCCCCCCGCCCTCTCAGGTGGATTCACCGGTGTATAACAAGCTTCACCAGGACCCAGGGAATGAGAGCTATTGTGCCATCGGCGGGCTGAGGGAGTTTATCCGGTTGCCCCGAGCTCTTCCCCCCGCCGCTCCTGCTTCCCACCCCTTCGTACCCTCTCCCCCCCCCCCTCCACACGCCCAGGTGGACCCGCTGGTGTACAACATGCTGCACGAGGACCCGGGGAACGTCAGCTACAGTGCCATCGGCGGGTTGGGAGATCAAATCCGCGAGCTGAGGGAGTCCATCGAGCTGCCCCTCATGAACCCCGAGCTCTTCCTGCGCGTGGGCATCAAACCCCCCAAGGGCGTGCTGCTCTACGGCCCGCCGGGGACTGGCAAGACGCTGCTTGCTCGTGCCATCGCCAGCAACATCGACGCCAACTTCCTCAAGGTGTGTGTTGTGGGTCCGTCCATTACCCACCTGCCTGCACCTCTCAAGGTGTGTGGTGTGGGTCCGTCCATTACCCACCTGCCTGCACCTCTCAAGGTGTGTGTTGTGGGTCCGTCCATTACCCACCTGCCTGCACCTCTCAAGGTGTGTGGTGTGGGTCCGTCCATTACCCACCTGCCTGCACCTCTCAAGGTGTGTGGTGTGGGTCCGTCCATTACCCACCTGCCTGCCTGGTCGCATGCAAACGCCGCAGTACACCCTAAAGAGCGTTGGACCATTTTCCACCTGGCTGGGTCCCTTTGCTCCCTTTCCTGCGTATGGGTCTTGACACACGCAACCGCCAGCCACGCATGATCTTGAGAGACGAGTCATACGACTGTTCCTCTTTTGCGCCGCACCTTTCCCATCCGTGCAGGTCGTGTCAAGTGCCATTGTCGACAAGTACATCGGGGAGAGCGCGCGGCTGATCAGGGAGATGTTCAACTATGCGCGCGACCACCAGCCGTGCATCATCTTCATGGACGAGATCGACGCCATTGGCGGGCGCCGCTTCAGCGAGGGCACGAGCGCCGACCGCGAGATCCAACGGACGCTCATGGAGCTGCTGAACCAACTGGACGGCTTTGATCAGCTCGGACGGGTACGCTGTCTGTCTGGCCTTGCGGGCGTCAGATATTTTGTCTTGCCTCCTTTGGTTGCCATATTGCATGCGTGTTTCGTGTTGCAAGGTTGTTGGCGGGCTGTGGGAAGCGTTCCTCCATTCCGTGTGTTCACTCCGTCTGTAACCACGTGAAGATGGTAACGCCCACCAACAGTCCTTTAACGTGCTCTTCTTTGCCCCAGGGCACGTGAATCCACAAGCCAGAGCTTCTGTTTTCTCCATTCCGTATGCCCAACTCGCCTATTCCCGGGTGAAGATGATCATGGCTACCGTCCCTTTGTACCCTGCTTCCATGTCTCTACTCCCTTCGTACCCTGCTTCCATGTCTCTACTCCCTTTGTACCCTGCTTCCATGTCTCTACTCCCTTTGTACCCGCAGGTGAAGATGATCATGGCCACCAACCGGCCGGGCGTGCTGGACCCGGCGCTGCTGCGGCCCTCCCTTTACTCCCTGTCCCTCACACCCCTCCCATCACCCCTCCTTGTACCCCCGTGCACCCGCCCCAAACCCTAAACCTTCACCAGGTGAAGATGATCATGGCCACCAACCGGCCCGACGTGCTGGATCCGGCGCTGCTGCGGCCGGGGCGGCTGGACCGCAAGATAGAGATCCCGCTGCCCAACGAGCAGGGGCGCATTGAGGTGCTCAAGATCCACGCGCTCGGCATCACCAAGCATGGGGAGATCGACTACGAGGCCATTGTCAAGCTGGCCGAGGTGAGTCAAGCTGGCTGAGGTGAGTTGTCAAGAAGCTCTATACAGAATTCAGCAGGGGCGCTTCGAGGTGCTCGAGATCCGTTAAGCTGGCGGAGGTGAGTCAATCTCGCGGAGGTGAGTCAATCTCGCGGAGGTGAGTCAATCTCGCTGAGGTGAGTCAATCTCGCTTAGGTGACTCAATCTCGCTGAGGTGAGCCAATCTCGCTGAGGTGAGTCAATCTCGCTGAGGTGAGTCAATCTCGCTGAGGTGAGTCAATCTCGCTGAGGTGAGTCAATCTCGCTGAGGTGAGTCAATCTTGCTGAGGTGAGTCGCCGCAAGGCTTCAGCTGGCTGAGGTGAACCCGTCTTTGCATTACCCCATTCCTCCTCTTCTTCCCTTTTGCAATCATCTCCCTCCCTATTCCCCCTTCCCTCCCCTGTTCTATCCACCCTTGGTGCCATTTTCCGGTATCTCCTCTCCTCTATGAGCGCATATCTGAGAGCCCTTGAAAGCACGACATATCAGGGCTGCCCGACCTGCTTGACTTTCTTACCTCATCCATACCAACCCCATCTGGTTGGCATACCAACTCACACCGGGTTGGCTGTGCATGCAGGGCTTTAACGGGGCTGATCTGCGCAACGTGTGCACGGAGGCGGGCATGTTTGCCATCAGAGACGACCGCGACTATGTGGTGCATGAGGACTTCATGAAGGTGAGTGCTGTCAGGCGCACATTGTCTGATATTTGGTGGTTTTGCTAGTGCATGGAAAAGAAGCTGATGTATTTCAATTTGCGTTCACTTTTTAATATATATACATTTTTTTTCCTTTTCTTTTTTTCCTGCAGGCAGTGCGCAAGATCACGGATGCCAAGAAATTGGAGTCAAGTGCTTCTTACTCAGCGGACTTTGGAAAGGACTGATTTGTACCTAGGTTGTAAAAAGCAAGCATCCTCATATTGTTTACGACGCTTGTTACTGTAGCGAAGATGGAAATCTCCAGACTCTTCAGGGTTTCATGTGTCAGTCTGCTGTTTCATGCGCGTCAACCTTGGCAAGGCCTACCCTTTCTATGGCAGCGCGGGTTGCTCCAGGCTCCAGCCCTCAGACCAGATACTACCGTAGCATGGCATTCTCGAAGCAGCAGATCTCCATGGCGGCTCAAGATTGTGCAGGCAAGCCGCCATGGTAATTGCAGTTACCGTGTCATCCCGGATGTAGGGGCAGATCTACGATAAGCTCATACGCCTCTATCCAAACCCTGCGCTTATTTCCGGTCCTCGTATATAAGTGCAGCGCAGGTAATACTGGATGAAGAAACAGTTTGTACGAATGTCAACAATTGGGTTGACGGGTACGTGATGAGGGCTCTGCTGTACTTCTGACGGGCGGGCTATAGTCTGAATGCCTCCCATACTTGTGATGGAGATTCATTCCACGCTGATTCATGTGTGATGATCTTGCCCGTGCTGTTGACACGAAAGACGTCGTCTGCATGGCAGCAGCAAGCAAGGCAGGAGGATGATGGGAAAGGGACCAGCAAAGCGAATGGTACACATTGATGGAAACACGGTGTGCAATACAACGCTTCCCCACTCCCCACTCCCTCCCTTCTCAACACTCACTCCCCCCCTTCCCAACACTCACTTCCCCCCTTTCCAACACTCACTCCCTCCCGCATCTGCTGCCTCTCCCTTACTCACATCTACACATTACGCTCGCATCCCCCCCTTCCACACACACTCATTGCCTCCCCCACACCCGCACTGTCGCACCTCCCGCACTCGCCCCTCCAGTGATACTCAACGCACCTCCGGTGATGCCCAACGCACCTCCGGTGATGCTCAACGCCTTCCCCCATTGACTGCCCCCCTTCGTCTCGTGCTCCACACTCTCCCCACTGCACCCACCACCTCCCCCACAAACACTCACTGCCTCCCCTGCAGTGATGCCCAACGCACCTCCAGTGATGCTCAGCGCCTTCCCCCACCGAGTCTGCCCCCTTGTGCTCCACACACTCCGCACTGCGCCCACCGCCTCCCCCACACGCCCTTCCAGCCCCGGACGCGGGGGGAAGGGCGAGAGGGTGCGCGCGTCGGGAAGGACCTGGAGAGGGGAACAGGAAAGTGGGGGTGGAGGAGAGGGGGAGGAGGGGGGAAGGAGGGGGGAGGAGGGGGGGAGGAGAGGGGAAGCTACGTCGCGATGTCTGGAAGTTGTGTGCACGAGAGCGGGGGACATGTTGCAGCCGTTCCTTAGAAGCTGCTAACATGCTGTGTGCGCAGTGGGGAAGGAGAGAGGGGGACAGGGATGAGGAGATTGAGGGAGGGGGTGGAGGGGGGTCGGCGGGTGACGATGGGGGCGGGGGGGAAGGGGGGGGGGGGGAGGGGGGGGGGGAGAAGAAGGGAGGGGCGAGAGGATGATGGAGAGTGACGGTGAGACAGAAAGGGGAATTGCAAGCACTGCTCACCTCTTCCAGTGAGTGCACTTCGAAAACGAGAGACCCGGGTTCGAATCCCACTGCCGTGATTAACCTCAGGCTGGTAATCATCCCTCTGTACAGAAATAGGCCGTCCAATCGCGTCACAGGATCCACGAATGCCACGCTGGCATCGTAGATGGACCAATCCAGGTCTCGCTCGTACTGCACCGGCAGGTCTTCCCGTAAAACGCGCATCACTCGCGCTACGCGCGCATCGGGCGCCCCCGCAGCTCCGCCCGCCGTTCCTTGCCCCGCCCTCGCTGCTCCGCCTTCATCTCCCGCTACGCGCGCAAGAGGGGTGCGCAGATCCCCCGGTCTCGCGCGGAGTGTTCCCTGTCTCACTCCGCCGTACTGCGCGCTTCTTCGAGGGCGCGGTTCTTTGGCGCCGCGCCCCAGATTTCCCCCGCCAAAGCACAACGCGCAGGCAGAATGAGGCGCGGGATGATAAGTGGGATTCAGAGCGATGTCGAAATGGGAAACGCAGAGCGAGCGATCAGATTTCGGCGAGTCTGACGCAGGAAGAAGTGCCGCGTGGGGAGAGGCTGCGCCGCCGAGCGTGCGCGGGACCGGAAGGGGGAAGCGGATTGCGGCGGCGGGCGGCATGGGGAGATATTATCAAACCGGACGGCGCGAGTTGGAGGCTTGTGGCAAAATGAAGGGTCGAAAGGGCAGAGTGAAAGGTGTAGCGACATGAATGGGCGGCGCTCCGCGGATGGGACTAGCAGGAATGTGATGTGGAGGTGGGGTGAAGAGGGTAAGGATGATATTTACGCAATAAAAGCGCGTGACGTTTTCTGGATCGCAACGTCAAAATTTGGATCACGATACACAGTATTTCGCGATTGCAAATTTGATGTTTCAATATAAGAGAAAGGCATGTCCATACATCCCAGGCACACGTTGGCCTGACTGTCACGTCCATTCCGAACTACCTCGCCGCCATGGATCTTGTCAGGCACCTTTGAATGCCAAATGTCTGTCAATTTCTTATCAGTTGCTACATTTAACAACGGTTTCGGTTTCTCCAGGGCAAGGGGAACAAGAGGATATAAATATTGTGCTCAAATGACGAGCATTTTATCATCTGGTTCATTGTCAGGCTTACCGAATATACCGTTGGCAGCAAAATGGTCTGAGAAACAAGAGGCCTTCCCAAGGTTGCTAACATCGTGGCTACTGTTGGGCTGAGAAAAGCCCTTAGGATCTTTGCAGGGGTGAACTCTGGGTAGGACTGATGTAGTAGCGGAAGCGTTTTAATGAAGAGTTGTGAACCACCTTGCGCTAGTATGTGAGGGCAAAGTAAGTTGATTAAGGCAAAGAGATACAGGATAATATAAGAGTACAAGGAATATGAAGAGATACAGTTGTAACTACTTTGCTGTTGCGGTTCGATACAGTGACGACTCGGGCAACTGCTCTGTAGCGAGTCAGTTGTGTGTCCTTGCTGTCGCGCTGTACTTGTCAGGTCAAAGGTCGCTGACCTTTGACTTTCGCGTAACCTTCAGCAGTTACTTCAACCTCCGAGGGTTGACTCGCTGGTGCCTCGATATGCTTCGCTTCGCTTGTGCCTTGGTGTTTCGACACGACAGAGGCGCTTAAGCTTGATTGTTTCCAACACTCCCCTTCGCTTCTGGAGTGTCGCTGTTGGTGACGTGGCTCTGTCCAGTGAGCAGCATGCAGTACTCGAACTTCTGTTTTCCGAGCTTCTTGGTCAAGTAATCAGCTGCCATCTCGGATGTGGGGCAGTATGACAGCTCGAATCTCCCCTTCTCGATCTCGTCCTTCACGAAGAAGTATCGCAGGGCGATGTGTTTCGTCCTGTTCGCGAAGCCGTTCTTGTTGGCGATGCGAATTGCTGACTGGTTGTCGCAGAACAGGGTGAAGCTGGGTAACTGAGCTAGCTTCGCTTCTTCCAGTAGTTCGCGAAGGTAGAGTCCTTCCTTGGTGGCCGAGCAGAGTGCTATATATTCTGCTTCAGCTGAGGAGAGCGCGATTAACTCCTGTTTGCTCGACTGCCAGGAGATAGGTCCGATGGGTTCGAACCGATAGATGTAGCCGGTGCGCGAGCGTCTGTTGTCAGAGTCGCCTGCGTGATCGGCGTCGACGTAGCCGATTAGCTTAGGTGTTGTAGTTGCGTTCTTGTGGTAAGTCAGACCGATCGTCGGGGTGCTGATGAGATAGTGAAGAGCGCGGTCGAGCTCCGCCAGGTGTTCCGTTTCAGGCTTCTTGAGATAGGTGGCGAGCTGGCTTGCGGAGTATGATAGGTCCGGGCGGCAGGTGACAGCTGCGAAAAGGAGGCATCCCAGTTTCCTCTGGTAGTCGCGTATGCCGGCGGGCTTGAGTAGAGTAGATCCTCCCTTGATGTTTCCTGTCGTCTAGCAGTACGGCGTGGAGATGGCGGTCGGTGTGAGTGCGAAGCGCTTGGCGATGGTGTCGGCGTATTTCGCGGCGCTGAGATAGACCGCGTCTTCTTCTTCTCGGATGTTGAGACCGAGGTACTGTGTGACGGTAGATGAGACCGTGAGCGTGAGGTCCTTCTGCAGCTCCCCTTCGAACCAGGTTGTGATGCCGTCGGTCGAGCCGATGTAGAGTAGATCGTCTACATAGACGATTAACAGGATGTAGTCGGTGCCCTTCGTGAGCCGGTACATGCCCTGATCGTGCGGTAGTTGTTTGAAGCCGATGCAAATGAGGCGAGCGTGCAGGTATTGTTGCCATAGTCGCGGAGCTTGCTTGATGCCGTAGAGCGATTTCAGCAGCTGACAGACTTGATTGGGCTCATCGTTGGAGCCGTGCGGTAATTCGACGAAGATTTCTGCGTCAACAGGTGCGTAGAGGAATGCGTTCGCAACGTCGATTTGCCGCAGCTTCTTCTTCTTCATGGCGGCGATCGCAAGGAGGATTCGGAGTGAAGTGTGTCGACCGATCGGAGCGAATGTTTCGGTGAAGTCACGTCCGTGTTCTTGGTCGAAGCCGCGTACGACCCAGCGAGCTTTAAACTTGTCGATGGTGCCGTCAGCCTTTGTCTTCACACGGAAGACCCACTTCCCGGTGAGTACTGTTTTGTTCCGTGCTACGCTGATAGGGACGACCTTCGAGGTGTTGCGTTCCTCCAGTGCCTTTAGTTCCCTGTCCATGGCTTCGCGCCATTTTTCCTTATGTTGTTACCCTAGAAAGTAAGAATGAAGAAAGGAGGGTGTTCACTAGCAAGCAGTTGGATACATATAGCAAACCCTAATTGGGTTGTACTCACTATAGAGTACCCCACTGCAGGCTAGACAATTATAACATTCTGACACACCCCCATAGCCAAAGTGGGGTGTAATCAGCACAACAAGCAAGTATAGTAATAGTTCACAATTATAAGCAAAGCTAGTGGTAGTCACAGCGGGCAAGTGAGGAGGAGGAGGGACTGTGAGAGGAGAGAAGATGAGAGACGGCGGCTGAAGCTGCAGACACACGGGCAACAGGAGCTGCTGGCACAGTGGCTACCGGGACAGTGCGCCCCGGACTACTGGAGTAACTGGCTCACGGGCTACGAGGAGCTACAGGAGCAACGGACCCTCGGGCGACAGGCGCAGCAGACTCTCTGGGCTACCAGGACAGTGCGCCCCGGACTACAGGTGCTGCGGACGACAAGACAGCAGCCTCCGCTCAACCTCCTCCAACTGTCCCACACACCCCCACACACCCACTGCTTCACTCCTAACTCCACTTGCACGTCACCCCCCTAGTACCACTCCTTCGGCTCCCACACACCCACCCCCCTCAGCGGCAGCTGCAGCACTGGGAGACGGAGGAGGAGGAGGAGGAGGAGGAGCAGGGGACGACGCACAGAAACTGCACCCCCATACCCCCCACCCCCAAACCCTAATTCAGGAGAACGGGCAGCAGCAGGGGTGGGGCGCCGTCAGAAGCACGGGGGACAGCGGGCAGCGCAGGGGCAGAGAAAACAGGGCGCCCACGGGCCTGGCGCAGCCCGTACGAACCGCGTGCGGGCGGCCCGAGGCGCGCCCTGGCCTGGCGCAGTCCGTACGGGCCGCGCGCAGGCCTGGCGCTGCCCGTACGGGCCGCGCGCGGGCCTGGCGCAGCCCGTACGGGCCGCGCGCGGGCCTGGCGCAGCCCGTACGGGCCGCGCGCAGGCTGTACGGGCCGCGCGCGGGCCCTACGCAGGTCGCGCAGGCCGCGACGGGCGACGGGGGGCGACGCGCGGGTCCCCGTCGCCCGTCGCAGCGCCTCCCGGGAGCGACGCGCGGAGTGACGGGGCAGAAAGCCGCCGCGCGCCTCGGGGCGCACGGCGGGCAGAAAACCGCCGCGCGCCTCGGGGCGCACGGCGGGCAGAAAACCGCCGCGCGCCTCGGGGCGCACGGCGGGCAGAAAACCGCCGCACGCTCCGAGCGCGCGGCGGGATGAAAAATCCGTCGCACGCCACGGGGCGTGCAACACACAGAGTAGCAGTAGCAGCGGAAGCAGTGAGGTGGTGGGCCCACCCACAGGATCGACCCAGGAGGGTCGACCTGCTCTGATAGCATGTCAGAACTAGCAGTAGAAAGTAAGAATGAAGAAAGGAGGGTGTTCACTAGCAAGCAGTTGGATACATATAGCAAACCCTAATTGGGTTGTACTCACTATAGAGTACCCCACTGCAGGCTAGACAATTATAACATTCTGACACCCAACCCAGAGCCTGTTGAACTGTCGCAGGCTCTTTAGGAATGGCTGCGCCGTGAACTGCGGTGACGAGGCCAAGGATTTGGAGTCCACTCTGTGTGTAGCGGGGGAGTGAAGTGTCCGCGGGATAAACAGCTTCGTCTCCCGCTTCTGGATCAGGTGCGAAATTGGGTCCTATGCGTTCTGCTTTGTCGGTGTTGACTTGTGCAGGTGTAACGTAACCGTTGTCAGCGAAGTGGTAATAGGTTTCGGCGTTGATGCTTTCGCGTGGGTTTTCGTCGTCCATTGGCACGTCGACGGAGCAGTAGGGGAGGGGTCCGGCTTCTTCCGAGGCTCCTTCCACGTTCTGCTCGTCCCAGTCAGCTTCGTCATCTGCCGAGGCGAAGGCTCGGGTGCCTTGAAAACCATCGGAGCGATCGGGGTTTCCTTCTTGCAAGTTGGCAAGGTAATACCGGAGGGTGAGGTTTCCGTAGAAGATGACATCACGTGCTGCTACTGTTTCCTTTGTCTCGACGTCGAAAATCTTCCATGCATTGTAGTGTTTTTCGATGCCCAGGTGTAGTCCCCACTGTGCGCGTTGTGAGAATCGGCCAGCTCGTGCAGATGGAGGCCGGTACTGTACCATGCAGCCGAAGACCCTTAACATTTTTGTGCTGCCCAGTTTTCCTGTCCACAGCAGATGCGGTGATGCGTTGTTCGGGAGCGATGATGACGAGAGCAGGTTGTGCAGCATGACCGCGTGGTCCATTGCTTCGGGCCACTGGTGGTTGGGCAGGTGCATGCCACGTAGCAGCTTGCGCATGGTGTTCTGGAGGGTCCTGTTCATTCTTTCTGCTACACCCTGCTGTTGATGGGCGTAGGGAAGGGAGATGAGCCGCTTGATTCCCCTTTCAGCCAAGTACTGCTTGAACCTCTGTGAGGTGTATTCTCCT